GTTCTATTGGTGGGGAGCTGCACCAACTGGAAACCGGGTCCAGCGTCCCAATTACAGAAGACGGAGCAAGTTATGAATTGTAGCAGACGGGCAAGTTGAACATTGGAGGGGATTAACTGCTCATCAGACTGCACGTTGGCGGCTAACCTTTCAATAGACCTACAACGGCGATTTCGTCAAAACGGACGTTTTATATTTTTTTAACGAAATTGAAATTGTCATTTTCATGCTGATTTTGGTGATTTTTTGCGTTTTGAGCACACTATTTTGAGTAGGTACCCTGCATTGTTTATAGTTTGTGCTCATGTTTACCACAAGTTTTACATTGCTTTCTCTTACATTTTGGGGGGTGTTACAGTTTCATTCGCATTATGTGAAGCTATAGGGGTCTTGATTATGGGTTTCTATTGTACTTTTCTATCATATCGATTAGCATTTACTATGTTTCGCAATATAGTATCAGTTTTTTTTTATTTTTTATTGACAAATGCATTAAGACAACAGGCACATATTGAATATCATTCTCGAAAACACATATGGCAGGTTCAGTCAATGACAAAAAAACTCCATGGACATCTATAAATGTTTGAGACTTTTCGTGCCACCCAAAAATTACGAACAACGTTATGTGAATCTTTTCGAAGTTCATGAAAAGGAAAATTGACTTCTTTATATAAATACAAAGCAACATTGATGCGGATTTTGGCTCATGCGACATATGATACATGTGCACGGAAATATATGTACATAGAGAGACTCCATGTCTCTCTCTCTCTCTCTATCTATCTATCTATCTATCTATCTATCTATCTATCTATCTATCTATCTTTGACTAAGACAATGTCTATGAAAGTTGGTGCCGTAGAGTTCATACACTCCTCCACACTACTGCTGATGTGCAGTCGTACATGATCGTACAAAAGGTGGAAATCCAGTTCGACATAATTAAAAAAAAAAAAAAAACCTAAAATCCGGCACATGACGAAAAAAAACGATATGAGCACTCGTACGAGCGCATGATCTACTCTATTGCCATCTCCGTCAACAGTGCTAAGCTACAACTTTTGTACAACAAAATGTCCGGAAGTGCTACAGCGGCGAAAGTGAACAAGGTCGTTGCTCAAACCGTTGGCTCGACGGAGTACACTCTTCGCAATGTTGAAGTTGGTGGTTAACTTGATTTTTTTGAATTTGCGGTTGACCCCCGTTGTTTCTTCGTTCTCTACGATGACTGTTGAGATAGAAGCAGTGATGGCAGTCCTCCGATCAACAAATTCTAACATTGCATCCCGTGCGTGAATACAATATTGTTTAACGTGCTGCTTGTACGCTCGCACCATCGAGTCTCTTGCATCACTCCACGGGATCTTTTGTCTCCATGTTTTCGTTCCACATATTGTACGCCCTTCGTGGTATTGAACAACAACACATGCAATGGTGGCGCTGCATTTCTCTGTCTCCGGGACAACCACAAGGCCGTAACCGTAGAATACCTCCTTGTATCTTGCGTTCCCGTCCTTCTTGTAATTATTATTATTCTGACGGTCGCACACCCCCACGAGGTTGTAAATCTTTCTTCTTGTGCTTAGAGGATACAAGTGCAGTGACGGTTCATAATATGCAAAATCCCAAGTGACAAGTCCGATGGCGTTACGCTGTCTCCTCAGCCGGTCTGATATCAGTTCCCCCCATTTGATTGGTGTTCCCCACCAATCTTGTCTTAACTGCCTCTGCATCCATTCCGGATCCATACTGCACGGACCAATACGAAAAAGATAAAGAGAGAAAAAAAAAAAGAAACACATACATCAAAAGCACAGATGAACGCCGGTCAATGCGGATAAGCACGCAAGACGGATTGCAGGTTGTTCCGTTTGCCACTTTCACGCCGATGAATATGATCGACGATATTAAACTTTGTGACGGTGTTAGTTTTTTTAAGTTTTTTCGTTTTACCCTCTTCGTTGCGGCATGTTATCACGGTCGTCGCCACGTGAATGGCGACTCTCGACCTTTCGTTGATGACACGCAACATTGCATCTTTGATTTCGTTGAATAGACGCCTGACACGCTTCAGCGTCGTCCGCCTGTAGTTGCTGTTTTCGAACGTCGACGGCACCTTCGTTCGTTCAATCCGTGTAGCGCACCGTGTCAGACCACCGTCTGAGCAGAACGCCACGCACGTTACCGATCCATAATGCTCACCCCCCCTGCCCCACATGTGAACAAACCCCAATTTGTAGAACACTTCGGTCCATTTGTCGGAGTCGTGGCTTCCGAAGTTCACATCCGGCACTATCATCTTGGCGAGCTTGTAAACTCCATCTCGCATCTCGTCGTACCACAGCTCAATCGAGGGCCAAGATGCGCACCACTCGGTGCAGTCGATACCGACAGCTCTCATTTGCGTTCTTGTTTTCCATGAAATGAGTTTCTGCCAGCGCACATGTGTCCCCCATTTCTCGTTGCGCTTCCGGTCCGACGATTCAAACATTCTAAACACAATGAATGAAGGAGAAAAACGCAATCCAATGGAGCAATTAGCGATGTGAACTAATTTGTTCGTGTTCAAAAGATGATCTCCATTACGCATGTCACACGTCACGACTACACTGATGTGTCTGAAGCAGATCCCATATCGTGCGTTGATGAGGGCGTCTTGTCAGGGACAGCCAACGACAACTGTGCATTCAGAGCTTCTCGTTTCGGGATCCGCATCTCATTTCAGAACGTTTATTGTTGGACCATGCCTACACAACGACGTCGAGGTCTTGCCACCCGTCATTTGTTTCAGTTTCGACCTTTCATGATTTTTCCCATGCGCCCGCATACAGCTTTGTCAAATCACGCTCCTTTCCGCAAGGAATCCAGTACTTGACACGGATGCGATTATCGTCCCGCTCATGAACTCGTCCAATCCAGAATGTGCATCCCTTTGCAACATACTCGTCGGGCGCGCGGAACACGACGAAGTTGTTCACGGCGACAGACTCATGCGGTTTGAACTCCGGCCTGGGAGCGTCTTTTTTGTAACCGACGAAGTAAGGTTTCCTCGGTGGCGAGTCGAGAACATGCGGTGCACGTAACGGGAGATATTGTTTATCGGGCATGGGGGCAGGCCAGAAGGCACCTTGAAGGGGCACTTTGCCGCTCTCCTCTTGCGATATGTTTTCAAACTTCTTGAGATGGTCGGTCCAATAGCTCAAGCGTCTACGTTTCATTGCTCTTGTGTGTTCGTCTTGTGTCACCCATTGGTTTTGTGTATTCTCCCACGATTTATGAAGAACACGTACCCCCGCCATCCCGTTAACGAAATCGCTTGCCAGTGGATTAGGTGACTCACGGCAAGGTTGGAAATCCCACTGAGGCCCTGCCCACCCGTTGTTTGCGTCCCTTACAAACCAATACACAGGGCCAGTGTCCGGCTCCCATTTTTTATCAGTGCAGAACTCCTTGTACATCATGGCGGGGTTGTCCCCATCCATGTAAAATCGGAAGAGGTGTGGCGTGGCATGACCCTTGATTTTATGGTCGATGTATGGATCTATGGCGGTTTTCTAGTCACCAATTTCAGTGAGCAATGTGCAATCGACTTCCTCTTCGCAGGACGCTTTGAGGACATCGAAGAGCTCATCCATGGTATACGCATCGCAACCGCTCAACTTTTTAGCAAACAAGCTGAACTTTGCATCTATGCCCGTGTGTGTGTGACCCACTATCATGAACCCCATTTCGACGACCTCGAATATACGAAATTTGACTAGCATGGCCATGAAGGCGAACACATACTTGTTTTTGTTTTGTCCCCTACAGTTGTCGGCCTGCACCCGCAACTTCGGCGGGAGCGCCCCCTCGTATGCCTGAACATCTCTCAACACTTTGGCGATCGAGGTGACGACCGAGTTTGAGCCGTGCGAAAGGTACGGAAACCACGTGTGAACAATGAGCGATGGTGTCCTACCGTGCGCGATTATCCCAGTAAGAGTTGTCTTCATCATCGTGTTATTCGACATTTCTTTTGACAAACGTCTTCTCTATGCATGGGGTATCGTTGTTTTCGCTTGATCCATTCCATCGATGATGATACACAGACTCTCTTTCGGCCTGAGCTCTGAATCAGCGGACCACACACTGTATTGTTTCCGGTGTGCCGACTGTAGCGCAAGATGACTTTTCTGTTTTGCGACAAGCACCCTCCTCGGCTCGGGCAGAGCACCCTCTATGAGGATACTATTCTTAATGCACTCGTTGCATCTCGCGTGGTCGGTCACCCTTGCGAGACGAACGTGCCAAAAGAAGTCCCTCCACATCTTGCAGAAGACCTGGTACGACGCGCAACAGACTCCAAGCTTAGATAGTCGTCTACGAATACTGAGGAAGACGTCTTTCTTTGTAGCGAACACCGATGGGAGCCGAATGCGGTTTCTGATCTCGAAGTTCGGGCCTGTCTCAGTCTGATCTGGCATGGGATCAGACTCGTCCAAGATGATGTCCTCCAACGCAGACCATGTAATGGCGTACGTCGCCGTTGTCCGCGGACGACCTTCATGGCCATGAACAGCTTCGACAGTTCCTTCATCGAGGTAATCGATGTATCTTTTGTATTTGTTCCTACCGACGCCGAGTATGAGACACCATGCAGTGACGTAGACAGGGTGCAACTGCGCTATCGATTTGACTGTGGGCTTACGGTCAACTAACGAAATAAAAGTTTGTAGTTTCGCCATCCACCACTTCCGTCTTTCCTGCCCTCTGAGAACACGGTAGTCACGTCTACATTTCATAACGTCCTGCACTCTAAGTTTAGAAAGACAGCGAAACGTCTTGCAACATGTTTTGCGGAGGACAGCCTCGCACTCGTCAACGCGACATCTACATTCGAAAGTGGAGCTGGATGTTGAAGAACTTCTTTTTCTGAGTCTGTATATGTATTTTCTCTTTCCTTTTTCACCGCATAACATAGACAAGGCAGATATCACGGTGTCTTTTCCGATTGGCAAGTCGACGTCCGACGAACGAGCAGCACGACCCACCCCCCCTTCACTACCTTTGCACGACGGCAACTAAAGCATGTCACCCGGGACATAACGATCGTCAGTGCGAGTTGCCGGTGGCGAATGTCCTCGAAGCGAAAGATCAGGAGACCCACACGCCGGTCCTACGCCGTCATCAGAAGGCAAGACGCCGACCTCGTTGATGATGTCGTCAAGACGAAGACGCCACACGACGTTGACATTGGCAGATGGCACAGCCCGGTCTCTGAATTGGGGTCCGGGCATATGAGCAACACGGTGTGCACGATGGCCATGTTTCGATGGTGTGACGACAATGTCTGGGGACCAGCTCTCGCAGGAGTTCTTAGGAGCATCGGCCGCGGGGGTGTGAAAAGACTGCATAGATGAAAGCGAACTTTAGCAACATATGTCCATCCCGCCCGCCATCGAATCGCTAACATAGATGGGAACGGCCTGTGAGAGGACACAACAGAACAAAAAAATCGAGAACAGAAAGACACGTGAGAAGGGAAGTTGGTCCCCCCCTCACAACCCATCTCAGGAAGTCCAGACCATCAACCGATTCAGAGCGACCTGTGGACCCAGAACGTCGAAACTCGCCAACGGGAGGGAGAGGGGGAGTGAGAGTGTGAGAGAGAGAGAGAGAGAGAGGGAGAGAGAGAGAGAGAGAGAGAGAGAGAGAGAGAGAGAGAGAGAGAGAGAGAGAGAGAGAGAGAGAGAG